GTGAGCTAATGCTGCAGATGGACAAGCTGCTAGAGTGCACATTACTTCAACTGCATGTTAGAAAACTGCACATGCACAAAAAAAAAAAAAAAGGGGAACGTGGGGAAAACATATAGCATGAAGTCAGAGAAACAGCCAGACAACATTCAATTATTATCTGTCTACTCTGTCTATTAGTATCCTCTCAAATGAGAATGAAATGAGGACCAATGAGGATCCAAAACAAAATTGACACTTAACCTGAAAAAAAATGGGCCAACAGGCACATGTTAACTGAGATAATAAAACATAAGCATTTCAGTGTAACTAGTGATGTGAAAAGAAGACATTCATCAGGTCAAGTTGCTGTGCATAACAGAATAAATACATGGGCAGAGCATTTTGGCATCAGCTCTAGGATCACACATTTATAATGTGCCCTGCCTTTATCCATGAGACCTCATGAATATACGCAGCAAACCTTTACTCTGCCTGTTGCATCCTGTGTTTTAGGTTCTCTTTTCTGAGATGTTGCAGAAATAAGACAATCTTGAGATTTCATCTTGATGCATGCTCAATCATCCAGGTAAGCAAATCTCCAAAAGCTGATTTTGTTCATCTGGACGTAGCATTTTCAGTGGGAGAAACGTTTCTGCATTCGCCATCTTACAATGTTGTGATTGCAACCCTTCCCCAACTCTCTGTGAATTGATCAGTGGTTCTTGATCAATGGTTATGAGAATTTGCATAGTAATGATGAAGGAACTGACCTCCCAGCCCATTGTTCCTTCAGTGGGCTGGTTTCAGTCATTATGCAAATGTCTTGTTTATAAGATTGGAGAAACCTGCAGTCAGCTGAGACTGAAGAAGTCACTTCGATGAATGACGAAATGTTTCTCCCACTGAAAACGCTACGTCCACATGAACAGAATCAACTTTTGGAGACAACCTTGAGATTCAAATTCTCAAGCCAGAGGTCCACTGACACTAACAGAGTCTAACCCTTAGAGGATGTTTGGCAAAATTATACTTTATTCAGATGAGTGGTTTTCTTGATCATCTTGACATTTCCTAACTACATATAGGATAATGTGCAAAAAAGGAAGGGGAATCAATTAGGTTTTAATTAAGGTTCTACAATCCCCTATCCTGGTTGTTATTTACATGACAGTTTAAGAAACTGGTGCAATTGTTGGTTATTTAAGTGCATGTTAATATATCTAATTAAAGAACATTCTGACTGTGACTGCCATGGTGCCTCCATCCTACTTGGCTGTCTACTCCAGGTTTTGTTCTCTGTCTGTTTTTCTCTTAGTATTTAATGTTTCTCCTTCTTGTTTCTCTGTGCTTGTTTTTTATGTTTATATTTGTTGGCGAGATTCATCACATCTTGCTGAGGCTAAGGCTCTGTTTTTATTGGACCTGCCAATCATCTCTGACAGAACAATACAACCACAAAAATGGACTGAGCAGACTCTTGTGAGCTGTGCTTTCACTTCAAAGGAAGTGGACTGGCATGAGCAAATACTTCGCCACATTATTGGCGAACCATGATCGCTGAAGAAATCGCAGAGGTAAAAGGTAGTAAAAAGGTATGGTTAATCCACCATTTTCAGCCTCTATCCCCTCACCTCCTCAGATCAGTAAACTGACTGTCTCTCCACTCCTGAGGTGTTCATGGGTGAGTTTAGCAAATGTGCTGGATTTCTTACACATAGAGTTCGCTAGTATTCAAACAAAAAAGGGCATATGAGTCAGATTGTTCCAAGATTGCTTTTTTGTGGAGATATTTTAAGACCAGGTGCTAAAATGGGCACAGGCTGTGCTAAAAGCAAGCCCCATTCTTTCTTTTGAAGATTTCATTCCTAAATTTCGGAATGTAACTTGAGTCTAAACCCGATGTTGGCTGCTCATCAAGGAAATTTAAGTGTGCCTGACTTCTCAACAGACTTTTCGATGTTGACTAAAGAAGTGGGCTGATAGTAGAAGGCCCTCCATGGAGCACAGTTTAAATGATTATTTGAAACATGAACTAGCTGCCAAACAACTGTCTTTCTTGTTGGATTTACTCATTGCAATGTGTAAAAATTGATGACCATGTCCGCAAACACAGGTGAAAATTTAACTTTCCCAGAATGCTCCTGGCTCTTATTCTCCCCCGCAGTAACAATGTCCCAATAATGTCCCTCTGTAAAGTATTTTAAGTCATGGCCCTTGATGGAAAAGGACCTCCCTGTCCCTGATATCACACAAGACTCAGACTGTCTCACTCACTCTCTCTGGCAACCACACTGAAGATGTGAGCTTCTTTGTGTTTGAAGCCCTTCTTACTCCTCTGGTCCTTGGTCATCCCTGGTTACGTAATCATTATGATTATGTAACCAGGGATGACCAAGGATTCAAGGTTACTTTATTTATACCTGTAAGTAAATTTGCTTTACAGGAAAATGATAGCATTTGGCATCCCTTTGCATCCCTTTAATTGGATAAAATGGGGTGCTGAAAAAAGCTTTGTTTCATGTTGACAATGTTTCTCCACAATGTAAGTGGGGGTGACCTCAAACCAGGCCCCATTAAGTATAAGCTGTAATTGATTGGCCTATCAATAAGAATCACAAGCAGTTGTGTTGCTTTGGTTTTTCTTTGGTTCATCCGTGACTTCAGTAAGCAAGTCCTCCCACTAATGCAACTTGCCTCTCCCAATCTTCTGTTCCAGTGGTCACCATTGGCTCAATGTGCCTTTGATCTTCTCAAGCAACGCATCATATCTGTCCCCATCTTGTCTCAACCTGACCTCACGCAACAGTTCATTGTGGAGGTGGATGTGTTCTACTGCTGTGTGGAAGCTGTCCTATTGCAAAACAAAGAAGGTAAAAAGCGTCCCTGTGCCTTTTTCTCTTGTTCTCTCTTCCCAGCTAAACAGAATTATAATGTTAGATATCAAGAACTGCTGGCAAGCAAATTTGCCCTAGAGGAATGGAGGTGCTGGTTGAAAGGGTCAGGACATACATTCATCATGTGGACTGACCACATGAACCTTGCATACCTCCAGCCAGCGTAAAGGCTTAATACTGAGCAAGTCAGGTGGGCTCTGTTTTCCACTCAGTTTAACTTCACCATAACTTACTGACATTCCTCACAAAACATCAGACCACTTTCCTGGCAATTCTCCACTTTTGACAAAACCCCTGACAAATCAACCATGGTCCGTGCTTTCTGAATGATTGGATCCCCTATCTGGTAAATTGAATCAGCCCAGCAAACAAAACCAGACCATGGCAGCAGTCGTCCTGGTCGCCTCTATGTGCTCGCTTTGATTTCAGTCTAAGGTGAATTCTGCTCTGCTCTCTGAGCCAAGGTTGGCCTGCCTTCTGCGTTTCATCCTCAGACTAACAGACAAGCACAACGTACCAACGTTTGGAGCTCCCCCCTGGCTTGGTAGAGTATGCCCATGATGTCATGACATGCCATAGAAGGTGAGCTTGTCATATGGCATAATCTATGCAGTTGGCACTGCCACTGGAAGGCTACCTATGCTATCCTGCTAAGGACCATGGAGCAAAATAAACGTCTTACCAATCGCAATAGAATCCCAGTGCCGGTCTACTGTCCTGTACTACGTGGGACTGGAAGAAGGGCAACTGTCATATTCTACACTGTGAGTCTTCCTTGGCTTGCACATCAAGGTTTTGTTTTTTGTCTAGCTCTCCCTTGTGTTTCCCCTCTCTCCTCTTTTTACGGGTTCCCAACTCTGGCCAGGCACACCTGCTCTAATCACCCACATGTTTATCAAGAATCCACTACTTAAGGTAGTGGATGAGGATAACTCTTTGTTTGGTAATTGGGCTAATCGGTTAGCTGAAACCCTGGCTCCTGCTACTGTTTTTGCTCGGATTTTGACTGTCTGTTTCCTGTGCACAGGCCCCTGGATTTCCTTCCCTGGTGTGGTGCGCTTAACCCTCAGTTGAAAGGGAGTGTGAACTGTAAATTTTGGATGTGTTGATTCACTTTGTTCCTGGACCATTTCCCTTTTCTTGTCTTACTGAACTGTGATCTCCCGAGCCCAGTGCTAAAGTCTACCAGCCCATTAGCCTTGACAATGGTCAATCCACGCTAATACTTTCTAAAACGATGTCTTAAAGAAAATCATTTTCGGATAAAAAGTTTTAGATATAAAACATCCACGTACATATATTTCAGATGACCATTCCTCAAGTGGGTAAATCTCCACAAGATGTAAGCGCTAGCATAGATAACAAACATATTGAGAAAGTCTAATTTGAATTAACAAACAGTAGTCAAGGATGTTTTGTGTTCCAGATAATGACCATGTAACCTCTGTGAACTGTTTACATATAAATACGAATAAACAATTAACACATTCTGAACCATATGCATGATTTGATTTGTTGGATAAAGCAAAGTTTAAAGTTAAAATTTTTCTGCCACACTGGATTTGACGTTTTTGTTTTGACAAACATTACATTTTTTTTAGTCACAAATGTATTTCCCAGTATTTATCAATAGGCAGGGATGATTGTCTCATCAAGCCTCACAAAATGATGTTTTCTGAACATGTGTCACAGCCAATCAAAGTGATTTTGCAACAGCTGAACACTAGGGAGTGCTAGTATCCAACCTGCACAGATCTAATAGCTTTGGAAATACTATTCTGATATTTGTGAAGATTGTGTTCGTTATTTCACAGAAGAGTTGAGCATTGGCTTTGGTCTGCAGTCTCAGAGAACCATTCTAGGTGAGTTGTTTTGTGCTAAGCTGTTACATATTTCTGCTTTTTTTCTATATTTGTAATGATATTTTGTGGACAAAGATTTAATATGAACATCAAAAATGCAAAAATGTATTCTGTGTGTTGAATATTGACACAGGCTGGAAGGATTTAGACTGCATACTTGTGAAGTGGTCCTTAATGTAGCTAAAGAAAAACCACCCACAATTCTTGGGAGTCACTACGATGCAGTTTATCAAGTCAGGACAAACATTAAAGGAAGAAGACTTACGCTGTGATGGAAATGTTAGCGGCTGACATGGGGCTGACTTCCTTTACCTCCTTGGCCTTCTGGAGGGCAAGTTTCTTATTAATAGCCTCCTCTTGCTCCTCTTCATCCTATAGGTATAGAAAAAAACATACATGGACACATATTTTAACTTGTTTATGTGTTTATTTCAGGACTATAATAAATAACAAGTCGCTCAATGCACTGAGAAGTCCTTTATAATATATTTATTTTGCTGTGACCATTGTTGATAGAAAGTCCACTATTAAAGAACAAAAAAAATTTAAGTCTAGCAGGAGCATTCAGAATATGGATATATTATAAGGGTAAAATCACTGAAGATTACGAGGTTCTTTTTCCTTTGTCAAATCCTGAGCTTGCCATCTTAGGGCATTTTGACATCAATAGTATCTTTAGTCTGTTCCAAATCACTTTTCCTCACCTTTTACATGTGATCTGGTTTTCTTTCACACAGACAAAAATCAAACACATGGCACAAAGAGATAAAAGGACAAGTTTGATCTAAATGGACTAAACACCAACAGTGTGAAAACACCCTTAATTAAACCTCTGAGGTCTAAGCCACCTATTGATGACACCAGCCTTCACCCTAATTCTAACTCTAACCCCCAACAATCAGAATATATCATTTTTTGTAATATTAAATTGTGAAGTCCTGGCAATCAGGGACAAATAGATCATTCAAACTGAAACCTTTCCCTTTTAATAATTAAAAATATCTATCTTGCCTTTCTTCTAAATATAGCATAGGTTTAGACCTTAGTTAAAATCAGAATTGTGTTTGTTTGTTTTACATCAAAAGCATTAGGAATGATGATAAAAAAACAGAATAATTTTATAATATAGAATAATATTTTTTTTTTTGTCACAAAAAATGAAAAAAATTCTTTATTTCATAAAAGAAATCTTTATTTCATGAGCAAATATCACAAGCTATACCACAAAACAAAACTAAAAGTAAATATTGCAACCAAAATAGAACTAAATTCTAAATTTCTACTCAATTACTACTCAAGTTAGCTAAATATATGCATGTGTTTCATTTTCAAGATCTGCTTTAAATGGCTACCATTTTGACAAGCGCAGCCCCGGAAGATTCTAAAAACTCTGGTTAAAATTTAGAAGCAAGATATGCATATATTTAACAAAATTATTTTCTCAGTTATAACTAGAATACTATAACATTAACTATTTCACATTATGTGTGAAAAAATGAAAGTGGGTCAACCGACCTTTGTTTAAATACATATGTTGAAAAGTATTTGATATATGAAGCTAAGTTTTCAGAAGTATCATTAGTATATTATATATCTAATAGGATAACTTAGAACCATAACATTTTAGTGAATATGGTTTAATAGAAAATGATAACTGTGAAGATTATCAAAAAATTATCATTTGAAATGAAAATAAAAAATATGCACATTAACTAAATTAATTAGAATACCATCCAGAAATGACCAAATTTGGTTCTACTCTGATTACACTATCTAGCAATATTTCTTATTCTTTTGTTTTTGTGATACAATTTTCCTTCAGAAAAGGCTTGAAATTGCCTAGAACTTCATTTAAAAATATTTTATGAACTAATAATGGCATAACACAAAAATTGGCTTTTGTATTACACCAGGTGTTATAGCATTAGCAGGGGACTTTTTCTGAGAAATCCAAGATAGTCAGCGTTATAAGCATTTGGCCAGTTGACATGGAATGTCCCTGAGGGCTAAGTAAAGAAGATTGCAAGAGTTCTTCTACACCTTCCAGTTATCTAAAGAACTCGATCCTTCATCTAAGGATGTCCATCAACCTACTCATTCATAATGAT